TTTAATGTAATGTTATCCCTGAATGTGTTATATTTGGAGATTTTTAGATGTCTCTTGCTTACTATACTGTAACTGTAAGTATTATTTGACAATACAGCAAATGTTTATTTGACAATACAGCAAATGTTTATTTGACGATACAGCAAATGTTTATTTGACAATGCAGCAAATGTTTATTTGACGATACAGCAAGAGTTTATTTGACAGTACAGCAAATATCTATTTGTGAGGCAGCGTGGAGGAGTCAGGCTCTCGTCAAAATAATCAAAGTGAAGAAACTTGCATTTTTCCGCATGTTTCTGAATTTTTGTCAAATTTTCGATTTTTGGCTGAACATCTTTCATGCCCATTAAAGAACTCATTTCTATGCGGATTTTTCTGGAAAATGTTGATTAAAACTACAAAAAATGTAAATTTTCAGTTACCACGGACTCTTAAGCTAAGGAAATAACTAATCTTTGGCAGCCATTTTCTCACTAATTTTACCTCTGAAAACTAGTGACCCCCACCTCCTTTCGCAAATATCTCGACTTGTATTCAAGATAAATGGATTTTTAAAAATACAAATAAAGACAAGTGAGCAAGCTATAAGATGATACCAATAACTCTACATGCCCAAAAATTGACGAGAGCCTGATTCCACCACGCTGCCTCACATTTCAGTTAGAAGCACTGGTTTTTTCTATTCTACAGCATTTGTTTTATTTTGATTTCAGGAATGGGATTTGAAGCTCTAGGTGTCCTTATCGCTGTGGTTGTTCAAGGAATGTTTGTGTCAAGCACTCGGTGTAAGGGTGATGAAAAACATGTGCACAACTTCACAATCTCAGCTCAGGTGATTGTCTTGTACTGAATTATTGTAAAGATAAACAGTTGTGTGTTAGTTAGTTTTAGTAGAGTTTTTATAACGCTCGCAACTGCTTAAGGTCGTATGAGCGCCAAGGGATGGATGTCAACAGAGAAGTCCATACAGGGAATCAGGCTTACTCTGCTCACCTCTCTAGCTTCAACAGCACAAAGTCTGCTTCGACTATCAAGGCACCCCGGGAATAGCGGGTCACAAGAGAGTTGTGTGTTATGACAAACAGTTTATTATTGTGCACTTACTTTTACTTTTACTTTTTCATCCTCTGTTGCCGCTAAGCGTCGAGGGGAGATGCAGTTTTCTACGGTAGGCCAGCTCCGCAGCTCTTTCAGTTGTGATATTATGTTTTCTTAGGGTTTCCTTGACACCCTCGATCCACCTTTTGTGTGGCCTTCCTCTTCCTTTATAGCTTGAGTGCTTGGTTATTGTGCAAATCTTGTAAATGTTTGGAAAAGCAGGTGGGCGCACCGTAGAGCTCGGTTGACATCATTTCAAATCCCTAATGTAGCATTCTGTACTTGGATTGATTGATGTGGCACATCAGGAAAGTCTCAGCCTTATGGGAGGGAAGTCTGTAGGTATTCCTGCGTTGCCGAAGATGACGATGAAATCCTGCAGCTCATCTGTGGACGCGCATGTAGCTATGCAATCCGATCCTGGATGTACAATGTCTGTTGCAGTGGGGACACTGGAATGTCGTGGTTGGGGTGGTTGGATTATGTTTCCTCTCTCTTCTGATAGTCAGCTTCTCTCTGGCAGGGAAGTAGTACTTGGGCAATTTACTTCCTCTACATCTACCACCCAGGCAAAGCTGTATTGGTGGGTGCTCTGGTGTGGTTTGCTCCTTCTTTCCTATCAAACATCTATCATCCTTATCTCCCCTTCTTCTTTTTTATGTTTGTTACTCTCTTGTAACACCTCAAATCTTCTGGCGCTCATATGACCTTATGCAGTTGCGAGCGCCGTAAAACCTCCACTCAAACTAAACTAAAAGCTGTATTGTGTATGCTGTTTTAGTACAGCCTCTCAAGACCTGGAAGACCATATATATGTAACCAACTCAGCCTGGGGTTGTTCTAAAAGGCAGCATTGGAGCAGCCCAGGTCCTAAATACAGTCAAAACTGTGTAAGATGGCCACCCATTGTCAAGGAGAAAAGTGGCCGTATAAGACAGGTGGCCGTCTTAGGCAGGACTGATCAAGATAAAGAAAACAAACCATTCCCATCTGAGGTCCCAATCGACAGTAGCCGCATTGTTGTTGTTTTTGTTGTTGTTGTTGGTTTGTATTTTTTAACATTTTTATTTTGTTGCTGATTTTGCACAAGGGTGACAATAAAACAAATGTATCAGACAAGGAAGACCAAGTGCCACATTAAAACAAACACATGGGTCGCCACCGCTCGGAGAACGAGCGACGCTTCTGTCACAAGTTCATGTTGACGTCCTTTGTTACTTTGTTACAGACTGGGTAAACAGTGACCACTCATCTCACTTACGATTTGTGTTTGAGTTCTGGACGGGGCTTATGGGTTATGAGGGATCACACGCTTACCTCACCAGCAGCTGAAAATTGGTAGCTATTGGTCAACATGATCGGTTGGAGGGACTACCTGACAACAACGACAGGTGATTGAATTATGACAGCTCGCCCACAACGCCAGGGGCCAATGCACAATTTATGACACAACGTAATGGAGTCACTAAGGTGGCCGTCTAAGACAGGTGTTATTGCTTAGTGTGATAGGGGTTGTGTGTTAAAATATGGTGGCCGCAGCTGCGTTGGACAGGTGCCCGTTTTACACAGTTAAATTATATAGAAAAAACGCAAGGGGGGGAATGGAAAGTGGCCATTTGTACAAGTGGCTGTCTTATAGAGGTGGCCGTCAGTAGTTCAAGTTATGTGGATGTAGTATAAAATGATACAATAAATAACATTCTCAAAAGTCCCCTGTGAATGAAGCAAAATACTTATTATGCTGCTCTCTTTTTAAAAAATGAATAACTCTCATGTGTTTTTTGTTTTTTTAAAGTTGTGATATAGACTTTTTTTTATCTTCTTGTGACAACGGTGATTATTGCATGGTTTTAGACTAAAGTGTTAATTTTACCGTTGATATTTTCCAGCGTGATGCATACATGCAGGGGTCATCCGTGGTGATTGGCCTCTACTTGGTGTGCTGTCTCGTCGTCTTCTTTGGCTCTCGAGAGAAGAAAGGTACTTCGTTTAGAATGTCAGAGTTTTTCTATTATGTATTTGTGGTGGCCGAATTTTGCTATTCAAAAGGCTTTGTAATGACTGCATCGATCGGCATGCGGTTTTCGCCAAAAGATTCTTTAAAAAAATTTTATTTAGCCATCGCTTTTGTTGGCCGACGCTTCTGTCTCTGTAATTTTAGAAAATCCGCGAGGTTTTGTTTATTTCAAGTACGGCTTTCGTTCACTATCCGTGTGCACTGGTTCCACACCTTTGAAATTGTGAAGTGCACAACCACCAAAGGGGAATAGAGAATCAATCTGTACTTCTATTATACTATATTTGGCAACTTAGAAACACGTGTGTCATTTTTATCTCAAGATTTATTGCTCCATTCCAGTAGACTGTAATATAGTAGGCCAATGACTTTCAGTTGATGTTAATGCACCGATCATTCCTTTCATCGAAAGGGGGCCCAGCTAGTAGTTATCTATTTATTGGTGTTTGGATTTTAATAATCACCCTCTGTGTAGCACATTTGAGGTAATTACAGTCATAATATTATGTTATTATAGAGGAAAACCTTCTACAAGGGAGGAGAACATTTCCGGGCCCTCTCAGATTTTGAATATAGAACTTCAACATTATTTGGAAAGTTCATCAGTCAGCTGCTCAGGAATTGTTAACTCTTTAAACCCCATTGGACAGTGGGAGCGTCTGGTAGTAATCACCATGTTCCCCCATCAGGCGCTGGTAGCGTCTGGTAGTAATCACCATGTTCCCCCATCGGGCGCTGGTAGCGTCTGGTAGTAATCACCATGTTCCCCCATCGGGCGCTGGTAGCGTCTGGTAGTAATCACCATGTTCCCCCATCGGGCGCTGGTAGCGTCTGGTAGTAATCACCATGTTCCCCCATCGGGCGCTGGTAGCGTCTGGTAGTAATCACCATGTTCCCCCATCGGGCGCTGGTAGCGTCTGGTAGTAATCACCATGTTCCCCCATCGGGCGCTGGTAGCGTCTGGTAGTAATCACCATGTTCCCCCATCGGGCGCTGGTAGCGTCTGGTAGTAATCACCATGTTCCCCCATCGGGCGCTGGTAGCGTCTGGTAGTAATCACCATGTTCCCCCATCGGGCGCTGGTAGCGTCTG